GTTTGATTTTCTTCATTTAGTATTCATGAAAATTTTTATATCAATTAGTATCCACGAAGTTTGATTTTCTTCAATTAGTATTCATGAAGATTTTTATATCAATTAGTATCCACGATGTTTGATTTTCTTCAATTAGTATTCATGAAGATTTTTACATCAATTAGTACCCACGAAGATTTTCTTCAATTAGTATTCATTAAGATTTTTATATAAATTAGTGTCCACGAAATGTGATTTTATTCAATTAGTATTCATGAAGATTTTTATATCAATTAGTATCCACGAAGTTTGATTTTCTTCAATTAGTATTCATGAAGATTTTAATATCAATTACTATCCACGATGTTTGATTTTCTTCAATTAGTATCCACGAAGTTTGATTTTGTTCAATTGGTATTCATGAAAGTTTTTTTTATATCAATTAGTTTCCACGAAGTTTGATTTTCTTCAATTAGTATCCACGAAGTTTGATTTTCTTCAATTAGTATTCATGAAGATTTTTATATCAATTAGTATTCATGAAGATTTTTATATCAATTAGTATCCACGAAGTTTGATTTTCTTCAATTAGTATTCATGAAGATTTTGATATCAATTAGTATCCACGAAGTTTGATTTTCTTCAATTAGTATTCATGAAGATTTTGATATCAATTAGTATCCAAGAAATGTGATTTTCTTCAATTAGTATTCATGAAAGTTTTTTTTTATATCAATTAGTTTCCACGAAGTTTGATTTTCTTCAATTAGTATTCATGAAGATTTTTATATCAATTAGTATTCATGAAGATTTTTATATCAATTAGTATCCACGAAGTTTGATTTTCTTCAATTAGTATTCATGAAGATTTTGATATCAATTAGTATCCACGAAGTTTGATTTTCTTCATTTAGTATTCATGAAGATTTTTATATCAATTAGTATCCACGAAGTTTGATTTTCTTCAATTAGTATTCATGAAGATTTTTATATCAATTAGTATCCACGATGTTTGATTTTCTTCAATTAGTATTCATTAAGATTTTTATATAAATTAGTGTCCACGAAATGTGATTTTATTCAATTAGTATTCAATGAAGATTTTTATATCAATTAGTATCCACGAAGTTTGATTTTCTTCAATTAGTATTCATGAAGATTTTGATATCAATTAGTATCCACGAAGTTTGATTTTCTTCAATTAGTATTCATGAAGGGTTTTGATATAAATTAGTATCCACGAAATGTGATTTTCTTCAATCAGTAACCACGAAGTTTGATTTTCTTCAATTAGTATTCATGAAGGGTTTTGATATAAATTAGTATCCACGAAATGTGATTTTCTTCAATTAGTATTTATGGAATTTTTTTTTTTTTATATCAGACAGTTTTCACGAAGTTTGATTTTTTTCAATTAGTATTCATGAAGATT